ATTGCGTAAACAGACTCACTCGTACATATTTTATTTTATATTTTATTGTTTCGCTCCGCTGCGCTGCGCCATAAGGGCAGATACCTATAATTTTCTTGTGTCTTTTCTCTCTGTCTCCCTCGTACAATGGAACAACATACCGCCGCTGAGGGGCACAGCAGTGGCAGCAACAGCAGCGGCAGCAACAGAAACTGAAACTGAAACAGAAACGGACTATGGGCAATAATAATCATCATCATCATCGTTTGGAGTCGTTGTAGTCGTCGTCATAAAGACAACAGTCGCCGCCGCGACTGCACTAACGACGCGTACACACACACACACACACACACAGGTACAGATACAGATACATTCTGGAGTGTGCGGAAATAAATAAATAAAATGTAACAAAAGGCAGCCCAAATAAATGAAAATATAACAAAACTCTTAACCCAAACACAGCCAGCATCATCGTCATAAGGAAAACAAATTGAAGGAAATGGAGAAAATAATAAAAGAGAGAAATAAACTCAATGAACAGAGCCAGTAAAATAACTAAGAGATATGCTAAAGGAATATACATAGAGATATTCCAGAAGAAACTAATTTTGAGGGCAGCAAACAGAGCTACAAGAAGCAGGACCAAGAAACTGAAGGAACTGTTTCACATAAGTACAACAGAGAATTAACATTGATGATACGTGATCGCTAAGGAAAGAGGTCAAATAAACCGAATGGATGGGGGTGGATATAAAATATAGAAAGCAACCGAAACCAATTAACTTAAATAAAAACGAATATAGAAGTAGTACCAGAGAAATATCTTAAATGGTACTATACAGTACAAATGAAATTCAAAGATATATTTCCTGCATTTGCTCTACAACAAAAAACCCAAAATAAAAAAATAAATAAACCAATTTCCGATAACAAATCAAAGACTTCAAAGGTCCTTCCTTTGGGGCAATCAAACCAAAGAATATTATTATTATTGGTAGCCACTAAAGTGATGCATAAAAACATACAATATATATTGAGTTATAATTACGAGTGTGTGCTCTTAGCACGTTGTCAGACCATGACTCGTTGGCGTTGGCGTTGGCGCGCTCAAATTCCCCCCAGATATACGAGCATTATAAAAATTCTATTGTCCCCCATACGATAATCGGTTTTTGTTTTTGTTTTTATAGTTGAACATTTCTTTTTTAAATTAAAACAATCACCGTCGGGGTGTAAATCGAGCTAGAAGAGACGACGTGACGTGCAATCGTGGCTCAAAAGATGAATTGGCCAAAAAATGCTATACGGGCAGTAATACTGCGTCATTCAGTACCTAAATCCGTGTCCAAAAGAAGTTCAACAAAGATATAGGAATAGAATTAGAAAATACTAAATGGTACGTGTGATTGTGTGTGTGTGTGTGTGTGTGAGTACGTACGGAGTGGTATGTCTTATCAGGTGGAATCAGGAATCGACGTGACTTAAGATTACGCGTACAAATAAATGTTATTATGATTATATTGTTGTATTATTTGCGGAGCTCCAGCGATAAGATCTATGTGGGTTTACAGCCCCCCCTATTTGTCCATCGGATCGCATCACATTGCCTTGGCCATAAAATAAATTACTTATTTATTTCGAGTGTGCGGCCCCGCCACCGACCACCGGCCACCGCCGCCACGACTCTTTCCACATTTTGTATAATAAAAACCAAGAACAAAAACAAGAACAAGAACAATTGCTGCAACATTTTATGGCGGTGGGTCTCTGTGGGCCCCCACAACAAAAACTAAAGAAATTATCGAAATTGGCTCGTAAATTATAGAATTCTCATATATAATTCTCATTCCATTCCATTCTGTTCGAATCGATTTGGAAAAGTTGCGGCACTTTGCCTTACGAAATCCTTTAATCTTCACAAAATGGAAAACCACTGGCAAGGGGAAATGCCAAGAGCCAAGCGGCTCTTACACGTGTTTTTTAATGTGTGTGTGTGTGTGTGTGTGTGGGGGCCGATAAGAGGCACTTTTCCACTTATTTGGAGGCCGGTCTGGGTCTCTACCCCCACCCCTGGCTTCATATGTAAAACCGAACGGAACATAAATTTTGATTTATTTCCAAGACTCTCGAATCAATCAAAATGAGCCTCTAATGAGCCTCAAAGACCGAACGACCGACCTACCGACAGACCGACAGACCGCACAGGAAACAGCAGCAGCAGCAGTGACATTTTTGTTGGTTGTAGCTTAACTACGGGAGATTCTCACGCTGGCAGCAGACCTTTCCCATTCCCATTTCCTCTATGGGAGAGAGTTCAAGCCACCTGCTTAGCATATATAGCCCAAAAGAAACAAATTTATCTAATAGAGCAGCTACAGATAAATGTAGCAATTATGACTAATATTTTGTAGACAAAGAGCAGCAGAAGCAGCGGCAAATAATAGAGAATGAGAGCAGCCCTTGGCCCCTGGGCTGTCGCACAAGTTTTCCACACTTCAGGCAATTTCCAGTAATTTTCTTTTCGCAAAAACAATTGGCAAAAGCACAAAAGAGCACCAGGGAAGCGAAAAGTAAATACAAGGAAAAGTCAAGGAACTCTCGCACGAAAAATGAGAGAGCAATGGAGATGGTAATGGAAATGGAAATGGAAATGGAGATGGTGGCATCATCTTCTTGCTACATTTTGCTGAATGCTGGGTTGCCACAATGCTGCGTGTGTGTCTCCTCACTCGCTCTCGCTTTGTCTGTGTGTGAGTGTTCTGCTGCTGCTCTCCCGCTCTCTCTCTCTCTCTCTCTTTCTTTGTGTGACTTTCTGTGAATGAAAGTTTTTGGCCGGAAGTTGGGGGGAGGCAGCCACCAGAGAGACAGTGCGAATACTCTCTCCCTCTCTCTCGCTCTCAGAGATACTACAAGACACTCTATTAAGTAACAGGCTCTCAGCGCGCTTCCTCCTGCTCCTCGTCCAACTCCTGGCCTGTCCCACAGACCCACACGCACCATCCATCGTCATCGTCTGACTTGAGTCTATATATTTTTTGGCACACACCAAAAAGTGGTGGGGGGGGGGCTTCCCTCAATGACGTCGTCACAGATTTTTCGGGCAGCGTGGAGAATGGCAGTGCGAAAACTGCTTCAAGTCTCTGTGCAATTTTTGTGTTGTTTTTATTACCCAAACTAACAAACGAACCAACGAACGAACGAACGAACGAACATTTCTTCTTGATTTTATTTCTCATTTCATTTCAATAAATTAACAGAAGAAATGCCAGTAAATTGTGTGCAAAAGATCGAAAATAAGGGACGGGACGGACTACTCATCCCAGTCGTAAAAAGAAAAGGTTTTTGTCCTGCCTTTGTCTCCTCTAATTTATTTTACATGTTTTATTGTATGCCACAGACAGACAGCAGCTGGCTACAATATTTTATCTGTAATATCTTGTATCTAATAGTCATATTCATGAGCAGTGCTGGCTAATGGAAGATGTGAGGATAGACAGTGGGGAAAAAGAAGGAGTAGAAAAAAGGAGCCTCATCCTGGGATTCCCGTCAATATTGATGCTCTGCTCATTGCAAACATCTCTTTGCAATTGGATTACCCTCTGGTTAGGGTACAAAAACATGCGTTCAACTAAAAACTTAAGCGCAATACGAGTAAAACGAGTAATATTCAGTGTCAACGGTGGAGTGGTCGCCTTCAAGGCAGCCATGAAACAGAGTTAATATTCAGTTGAACATTCGAATGAGGAGCAGCAGAATGCACCCACGAAGTGGGGGGGATATGCTACTCAGAAGAGAGTGCAGAGAATAGTGCACTTTTTTGGGGGAAAATTAAAGCATTTTAAAAGGCGAAGAATGCACCTTGGACTAGACCAAATCAAGATTAAATCGCTTCGAAGAAGAATGCATCTCAGGTGGATAGGCAGTCGCTATCAAAGGCGAAGCGGGGCAGGGACAGGGACAGGGGACCACCACACATTAGTCCAAAATGATTACAAATCAAATGCACGAGAGCAACGACAAACGGAACGAACGAGCGACAACAACATATCAAATCAAATATTTGTCTGCGACTTTTGTTTGCATTTTGCCATCAATTTTTATGGCAATTGTTTATAATTTTGTTGATTCTTCACCCTACCGCTCTCGCTCTCGCTCTTTCTTCTCTGCCCTGCTCTGCTCTGCTGTTGGGGCTTCCTCTGTCTGCACTTTGCTGGCAGCTACTATGCCCCCCCCACATTGTTGCTGCTGTTGGTTTGAGGTTTGTCTTTGGCATTTTGTATGCCACGCGTGCATTGTGCAATTTTCGTCATTAGCATTAAATGTTTTTGAATTGTTGAATTATTTTTCAAGTCGCTGACGCACTTAATGTCTCTCGACCTCTGCCTAGGACCCTCCCCCCACCCGACCCCACACTGCCGCCCTCTCTGTACCCCTCTCTGTTGGCTTTAGTAAACTGCTTCTTATACAAATAGAAAATCAGCTTTAATTTGCAATCTAATAGAAATAACAAGACTCGCAATTCGCAATTCGCATTTCGAGGTAAAGACTCTCCTCCCTCCTCCTCCTCCTCCTCCTCCTCCTCCTGCACCTACTGCACCTCCTTCTTCACCTTCTCCCCGCGTAAGTCGCTTAAGTCGTCGCCGTTTCGATTGTTTTGCTGCTTTTTGCTGTTGTGGAGGTAAATGCAAAAATGCATTTCGTTAATATGCATGCACTCGTTGCACTGTCCGTCCCACTGTCCGTACCACTGTCCGTACCACTGTCCGTCCGACTGTATGTCCCACGGTATGTCCCACTGTATTTGCTTGCTCGTTCCACTGGGGCGTATGCGCATTATGTAAAAAGCTTTTTGTTTCTTCGCTGTGGCGCATGCCCCTGGGGGTCAAGCAGCCAACCAGCCAAGTAATGGGAACACCCGTGGAGCCCCACATATCCCCACACGCAAGTACGAGTATATCTTCTAATAATTGATCTATTCTGAAGTATCTTTCGACTGAAAAGTATAGATCGAGTGCACTTACCCTCTCTTCTTCGCGTATCATTTCGGCGATTTCCGGCTTGATTTCCATGTCATCGTGATGCGATGAACCCACCGATGAGGCAGTGGGAACGGCACCGCCCACCGCACCGCTGGCGGGTGCAGCAGCGGCGCCTCCTGCAGCCGCTGCCAGGGCGCTGGCCATCGCGTGCGAGTGCGCCAATTGGTGCTGGGCCGCCAGCTGTTGGGCGGCTGCCGCCGCTGCATGATGATGCATGGCGGGTGGTGGCGGCTGCTGGGGCACAGCGGCGGCGGCATGATGTGCAGCGGCGGCCACTGCGGCGGCCATGTGTGGTGGCAGCGAGGACTGTGCCCCACTCGATGATCCCCCGCCAGTGGGGGAGTGGAGCAGCGCGCCTGCTCCCGAGCTCCCGTTGGAGCTGCCCGAGGGGTGGTGCTGGTGGTGGGGTGGCGGCGAGCAGCTGCGTGCCGCGGTGCGGTACGTGCCCGCCGATGAGCAGGAGGCCGCCGACGATGTGGAGTTGCCCACGGCGGCTGTGCCCACTGTGGAGGCGGAGGTTCCGCCGGAGCTGCTGCTCGAGGCGGAGGAGGAGGTGCCTGTGCCCGCGAGGAGGTGCGCCTGCAGCGACTGGGGATTCGGGGAGGCGAACGGATTCCGCACGATCGTCGATGTGGGCTGGCTCTGGCCACTGGGCGTCACTGCCGTCCGGGGCGAAGACTCCGACTCCACATCGGGGCGGAGGCTGTCGCCATGCAACGGACTGGGCGTGGCATAGTTTCCATCCCGCGAGCGCTTCCTCTGCCGCTGATTGAGGTCCAGGGCGGTGTCTGCCAGGAGTCGGGCTCTCTTTGGCTCGGGATCGTCATCCTGCCGCAGGATTGCGGCTGCCAGCTCCTCATCCTCCTCCTCGTCCTCCCCGTAGACGGACATGCGCTGGTCGGGGATCATGGGATGCGCCGAGGCGCCATCGCGACTGGCCCCAGCACTCACCTCGGCCAGGCCGCGGATCTTCAGGGTTTCGGCGACCTTCAGCAGGGGATTGATTTGATCCTGGCACACATTGATCTCCCCCTTGTACATGAACTCGACGAGGGCCTTCAGATCCGACCAGTGGACATCGCGCATGATGATGATCGGATGCTGGCAGGGATTATCGTAGAACAGGGCCTGGAAGTAGGGCGAGCAGGCGGAGAGGACCATTTTGTGGGCCTTGATGGACTGCCCCTCGCAGGAGAGGGTCACATCCACAAAGGACTCGCTCTGCAGCAGCTCATCGAAGACATTGGTGAGATTGGACTGGTAGTTGTTCCACCGCAGGCAGAACTGCTGGTTGTCCGTGGCCCCACCGCTCACGGGCGGCAGTCGCCGCCTGGCGGGTGCCACCTTTTGGTCGGTTTTGATGGGTTTCCCCAGCACCGGTGCACCTCGATGATCCACCGATCCGCGCTGTGGCGATGTCTGTCCGAATTCGAAGAGTGCCGCCGCTGCAAGCTTGTGGCTGGCCTGCGGCTGTGGCGACACGGGCAGGGAGCGGGATTTCTTTGCCTCCAATTGGAGGTGCAGCTCGGGATCATCGGGATCCCGGAGGCCCACCACTTCGCTGGAGGTCAGAGGCCTCGGTGGCGGTGTCAGTGGTGGATCTTTGATCAGATTTTGCTTTGGTTCCGCTGCATCTTCATCCACATCTATGGCTGTGGGCGTTGCCTTCTCTGTGGCTGTTGCTGTGGCTGTTGCTGTGGCTGCCTCTGCGCTGTGTTCCTCCTCATCGTTGGAGGAGCATTTGGTGTCCATTTCAGTGATGGATTCTGCCGCATCATTCTGTTGTGGCTCTGGCTCACCCTTGGGCTCCTCTGTGGCAGGCGACATGCGGGTGTAGTCGCTGGCCTCGTACTCGCCCTCCGACTTTATTTCAAAGTCCATAATCTGTTTGGTCATGTCCATTATGTCTGTGTGTTTTTGTGTGTGTGTGTGTGTGTGTGTGTGCGCTTTGGTCGCGTTCTGTAGCAGAGAGGGTTCACTGTACCTTGATCTCTATTGGCTGCTCAAAACATTTTTGAATCGGTTGTGGAGCCCTGCAAAAATGTAATGGGGGAAAATGTCATTAAATTTTCAGTCTGGAATAGAATCGAATTTTCTTATTGTATATTTTAATGGAATTAACAATTGGAATTGCAAAACGCCAGAAAGGGGAAGAAACACTCTTAGCTGTAGCTGTAGCTGTGGCTGTGCCTGTATCTCTGAGTCATAATTCTATTAAATAAGCCTATTAATCTTGCCCCTGCCCCAGCCACAGCCACTGCCACTGGGCCCCCCCCCCCAGCCACACTTCGCTGTGCCATCTGTGTGGAATATTTCCATGAATTTCTATTAATTTATGTTTGGAATTCGCATGCCCCAAATGTGCTTTATTAGCTAAAAGCTAAGCACACATTTATTTATGTTTAATTTCGGCTTAATTTATATTACTCTCCTGCCTGCCTGCCTGCCTGCCTGCCAACCGATTGTTCTCGAGTATATATGTATCTGTATCTGCTGTATCTGCTATATCTATATCTATTTATTTGTATTTTCAGTGGCAGAGCATTGCAGAGGAGAAGCAGGGAGAGCGAGTAGGTATGTATTGTATGTACTTCCATGCGCACATAGATTTATATTTAATTAAATATTATTATTTATGGCAGCTGAGCGGTAGCAGCCCCCCAAGTAATTATATTTATTTAAATATGTATTTTTTGTATGTATAATTTTAATTTATTCGAATGTGTGTGTATGTACATACATATATATGCGGGACGCAGAGCGGAATAGAGAGAGGCAAAATGGGAGTAAATACTGCGATGTGGTGCGGGGGGAATAGTATTTGTTGTGTCTTTCGGGGTGGAAAAGTTACTGTTGCTGTTGCTGCCGTTCTGCTGCCATCAAATTTAATTATATTTATTATTATTGTTATTATAATTCTGCTTCTTCTTCTTCTTATTCGTTCCGTTGCTACTTTTATGTTTATTATTATTTCATTCCAATTAAATCTTGCGGCTGACGCGACGCGACGCGACTCTACTCGACTCAACTCAACGCTACGAAATGCTATGCCACTCGGAGTCATTGTCGTCGACTGTTATTTCGATACCCTTTTTTTTGCCAGCGATATCTAAAGAGAGGGTATTACGATTTTGAGCAGATGTTTGGCACATAGAAAGAGAAGAAGCTACTGGATATAAACTATTTCTGATCAGACTTGTTAACTGTCTGTTAGTCTCTTTCCAGGCAGAATATGCTCAAAAATTCAATAAAGTCTCGAACAATTATAGAGCTATATCCTATGGCTACAATATGGATACATTTATCGGGAATTGCCAAATCAAAAGTTTGAGTACAAAATATCGTTGTGTTGGGTTGGGTTCATTTTGTAGTAAATTGTATATTAATTCCTAAAATTTCATAATTTCATAGAACAATTTCCATAACAAACGGAGGACCATGATCTACCTCTCTGCAGATCTCCCCCCTCCATAGATCGCCCGTGACAATGATCATTCTTCAAGGGTATCAAACATTTCGATGCCTGAATCTCAATATTTCCCTTCTTGATTTTGTTTATTTTATTGTTTGCTGGAGAACCAGAATCAGAGATGGGGCACACAACCGGAGACGGAGTCTCGCGTCGAGGGAGCACTCCTGCCACTTGTGCTCCCCCCGCGAAAATAAGAAAATGCTCTCTCTCTCTCTCTCTCTCGCTCTCGCTCTTCTTTCTCTCTCCTTCCGCTTTTCCTTTTTCGCCTTTTTGGCAACTTTTGGTTTATTGTTATGGCCCACCCCGCAACCCGCACCCCTCATTTATTCATGTGTCTGCCCCACTGCCACATTCCACGCATTAAATTTGATGATTCTTTTGGACAAAAGTCAGCGCCCAAAAATAAATAAATAACAAAATAAATAAATAAATTGCCTAAATGCAAAAAGTCTAAGAAAAACTTGAGACAAAAATCGAATGGAATTTTAAAAGAAAATTTTAACAACAACAAAATAGTGAAAATTTCTACGAAAGCTAGAAAAAAGAAGTAGTGGAATTTTCATGAACTTGTTTTCTTGGAAATTATTTTTGTCCATTTTCGTATCAATGGATTTTGGGTTTTGATTTTATTTGCCAATTGCTTGGGCACTTCCTGTTATGGATCTCTCAGGTCCCGCCTTTTCCTCTGATTTTTTAAATATTTTTTGGATAAATTATTTATGTCAGAGAATGGGAAACATGGCAACAGCGAGAGCGAACAACTTTGCCCCTGAGCTTTTCAATTATTTATTATTTATTTATTTTTTTTTTTTGTAGTTATTTATTTAATTTATATTCGCTTGGGAGCTCATCTGAAGGATGTTGGATGGGCTGGGGAGGGGGGTCCTTCGAAGTTTATATAGCAAACACACAAACACACACACACACACACAAAGGGGGAGAGGGTGGGTGTACGGGGCAGACAACGAGCAGAACGGAACGGAGGCACTTTTATATATATTTTATATTGTATTTATTTATTAACGCTTATTTATTATTTATGCAGTCTGTAATAAATTACACAAGCGGCTGCCACTACTCTTCCAGCTGCTGCTGCTGCTGCTGTTGCCTCTCCTCACCACTCCTCTACGTTGTGTTGTTGCTGCCACAGAACTGTGTTCCGTGTCCGTGTCTGTGTCTGCCTCTGCTCTCCTTCGAACTCTGTGGGTACGTGGAAAACTGTTTACAAAACTGTTTTTGGCGCGTGCCACCATGCCACCCACTCGAACGGAGTTCTGCTGCTGCTGCTGTGGCTGCTGCTCGGCAAAGTTGCTTCTCCTTCGCGTAAGTTTTCTTCAATTCCTGGGCTCCCAACTTTGGGACATAAGATGGAGGAGGCAGCAACAGCAGCAGCAGCGACAGCAACAGCAACAGCAACAACACTTTTTACGACCTTTTGGTGGGTGGATTGTGTGTGGCAGGGTACGGGTGCGGGTGGGGGGATTTTTGTGTTATAAATTAATAAATTACAATTTCTTTGGGGAGAAGCAAAGTGCGCGGAAAATTGTGCGACGCCACTTGATAATGTAAGAAAGGAAAATCGATTTTCATGCAGCCGACTATTAAGTGCACCCACTGTGTCTCTCTGTCCCTCAATCTCTCTGTCATTGCTCATAAATAAAACACTATCATTATTATAATAATCACCACAGCACAAACACACACACACACACACACACATAAGTTGCACGTACACTTTGGAGGCGCCTCTGCTTGCTGGTTGCTTGCTGCTGGATCGCTTGTGGATCGCTTGGAGTTCCGTTTAATGCGTGGAATATTTTTATGGAATATTTCTTTCTATAATTATTGTATTTATTGTATTTTGTTTTGTTTTGTATGATCACTGCATGCAACACATGCCTCTGCCTGCAACTTATTTGTTGCCACTCTGTGTCACTGTTGCACTGTTCTCGTTCTCTTGTTTGTTCTTGTTGTTGTATTTGTTTTTGTTGTTGTTGCTGCTGTTTGCGCTGCCTCGTGTTGCGCCTCAGAAAACGTTGCACTCACGGCGAATGTTGAAAATCGAATGAACTCGCGTTGTTTCGGCCGCTTCGTGCAATGAATGAAACTCGAGACTGCTGCTGCTGCTGCTGCTGCTGCCACAGCGACGTCGCAGTCAGCGCGAACAGCGACGCCAGCCACCCCCCACCCCCCACCTACCACAACGAGACACACACGAGCGCCGCACCACAGAGAGAGAGCGAGCGTCAGAAGAGAGAGCGCCGGCGTCGTTTCCGTCGTCGTCGTCGTCACTTTCCGGTTTTTGCGGCGAATTCGTTTGGCATTTCAAAAGAGAAAATAAAGTCAAAGAGAAAGAGAAAGAGAGATAGGGAGAGGATTTCTCTTTGGTTATGGGATTGTGACTGGGGATTTTATGATCGGGAATACTTGAAGGAATAATTGTGTTGAGGTGAAGGAAGGTTTATCCCCAGAGATCTGCAATGAGAAGTAACTCTACAATGGAAAAATCAGCCTGCAGTTGCAGTTCTCTGTGGAAGAGTTTCCACAACTGCCCGTCGATGGTGTTTGGGTCTGCGATTCCTCATCTTTCGATGGCCTGTACGCACCCAAAATGATTCACTTCTTCCAGTTCCCAATCGAAGCTTAGCAACCCAATTTATGGCACAACTCCTGCCCCAATCGAAGCCTCCTCCACAGGGAAAAGAATATTAAACTGTGCCTACGCAACCAAAGAGGGGGGCAACGGCAACGGCAACCGACAACCGACAACCGGCACCTGCTGCTGCACTTGCAACTTGAACCAGAGACCAGTGGAGCAGAGGTGCAGTGGAGCAGTGGAGATGCTTCTAGGCCGAAAGAAAGAGAGATGCCGCCGCCTGGCCAATGTCCAGTAAGAAGTGCTGCTGCTGCTGCCGCCTGCCTGCCAACCTACCCCTCTGGCATCTGGCATCCGGCATCCGGCATCTTCTCCAGCCTGTCATCCAGTGGGGCAACATCGTGGGGCGCATATTGGGGGCTGTTGCTTAGACCCAAAACTATGGCATGCAAAAAGAGCAGAAAGAGAAAAACTACTGAAAGCGCGCGAGACGGCATGACTTGGCCACGCCCCCAAATGTTGGCCATCAGCCGTCCCATGCCATGGGTGTGAGCGAGTGCGCAAGCTTAGTGCTCCCTCCACAGCCACAGAGAGCGAGAGTGGGGTGCACAGCGGTGTGTGGGGGGAGGGTGGTTCCAAAGGCCCCCCAATGGAAGCAACAAAACAAAAAAAATGCAAAAAAAACGAAGCGAACGAAACGAAACGAACGACGAAACGAAACGAATGGAGAGCCGAAGCTTCGCTCTCACTCTCTCTCTCTCACTCGCTCTCTCGCTCGCTCGCTCTCACTCTCTCTCTCTCACTCGCTCTCTCGCTCGCTCGCTCTCACTCTTCTGTCTTCTTGCCTTTTGCCTTTTGCTTTTGTTGCTGCTGCTGCTGCTGCTTGCTGCTTGCTGGCTGCCTCTTGCTCTTTGGAGGAGGTGCTGCCCGAAAAGAGCAAAATTATTGCGAAAGAAAGAAATTGCAACAGAGCGTGTGGTGGGGTGGGGTTGAGGAGCGGGTCGGTTGCTGCAGAAAAGAGGAAGGAAGTGCAATGCTGCTGCTGCTGTTTCTGCTGTTGCCCGATGACGTCATGCGGTAGGCGGCGCCTACGAACGCATTTTTAATATTCGTCGGCTGCCTCCATTGTTGTAGGCCGTGTTGCACGCGCACACACACCACACCACACAGCGTTTGTTGTTGTTGTTGCAAGTGTGTGTGCTTGTGTTTGTGTGCGTGCAACCAATAACAACAACTAAAAATATATTCTCCCCTGTGTCCATGAGTATCTGTATCCGTATCTGTGTGTGTGTGTGTGTGTGTTCGTTTGTTTGTGTATATTTCTGATGCGATTTTGTTGTAGCATATTTTGCATATTTTATTTCAATTTTTGCGCTCTTCTCTCTTTTTTCTCTGTGTTGCATGACCTTTTTCTCGTGCGCTTCGTGCGCCTTCGCCCCAGCTTCGTGCTCAACGCCGATTGGCCCCTGTTGCCCGTCGCTGACATATAAAATATATATATATATAAAATATATATATATATCTGAAATATATATCAGATGTGTGCGTGTGTGTGTGTGTAACGGAGGGGGCAAAAAAGCGTTTGGATACGTATAAAATATTTTAAGGCTCCCTACGCCCCCCCCCCCCACCCCCCACACACACACACACAGACTTCGGCAGGCTTCGTGTGGCACCGAGGCTCTGACTGCCTTGCCACTGCCCTGCCACTGCTGCTGCTGCTGTCCCTATTTCTTCGTGTTAAGAAAATGGAGGCACAAGAAAGAAGCCTGGAGATGTTGCCAACAGATGAGATTTCTTAGGGCTGTCAAATGTGAATTTTTATTAATAATTGAAACGAAATAATTGAAATGCTGAATCCCTCAGCATTAGTAGAATTGATCTTAAGTTGCAGTTGCCTAAGCACAAAAATATGCAAGAAGTAAAAGCGTCAAAGGACTCTCTGTGTCTCCGAAAAGTATGCTGCAATCATTTATACAAAATTTCGTATCGAAAAACAAATGAAAATAAGGGAAGAGGGAGAATATCGTTGTATCTTTGGGTTTTTATACTCTTGGGGCATCTATAATGAAAATTCTAAAATATGTAAAGATCAAGATCATTATGCAACGCTAAATTTTACAACAGAGCATAAAATGGATTTAGGCCATTGAAGTACTCGAAAAGTTATGATTTCTATGAAAATTATATGCGATAGATGGGCCAGGACAGTGTACAGCTCTGGGAGGTACCTTCTGCATTCCCTATCTGCACTTATAATGCCCAATACCCGACTGAAGATCAAGTTTTATCTGAAATAGGTTTGGAAAACTCTTCTCCGATGATTTCTATAAGAATTTTCCCCAGACAAATGGACAAATTTTAATGACTTTTGTGGGCAGCAAAGTCTTCGGAAAAGTATGATCCAACTGTTGCTGTGAAAGGGATAGATATTTCTGTACTCCTGCCGCCCTTTTTTCAGGCTGCACTGCACTGATGACGAAATAGATGGACGGAACCGTGTGGTACGTTCGCTGAATCCCACGCTTTCGAGGCGGAAATGAAGGCCCTTTCCGCTTTTGACAAGTCCAAAGATGGCGAAAAAAAAAAAAACAAAACGGGTTAACTAACCGGTCCCCTGGCCCCGCTGCACACTGCCCCGTCTGCTGAGTTCCGTGGGAGAGGAAACTAGCGCGCTTCCGTTCCGTCAGCGGCGACTAGGAAATTTCAAAGTGAAAATTACTGCAAGAGGAAGGGAAAAAGGGGAGCGTGGAGGAGGGCGTGAAGAAAGCAAAAGCGTGTGGGCAGTGGTCTGGAAACCACGTTAAAGGACATCCGCCGGCAAAAGAGCGAAAAGAGTTTCAAATTGCCAGTCAGTCAAATGCAACAACAACACACACACACACACACCAACACTTGCACTTACACTTACACTTACACTTACACACACACACACACACACACACACTTATACTTGGACGTTCACTTACACCTACAGTAAAAAAGAAAAAAAAATAAATGAGAGAGAGAGAAGACGAAATGGCGACAGGAAATGACGAAAGCCACCGAAAGACAAGTCAGGAATGAAGAAATGACTAAAATCGGGAATACCCTTTGATGGGTTTTGCTTACTGCAGCAGTGGGGAATAATACTGGGGCATACTTTTATTTGATTTGGGAAATTATCCAAAAATAATTCACTTAAAATATGAAGAAAGCGGCCAAAATGGCCGCAAAATTTGTTTTTAAATTATGATAATTCCAATAGAAAAGAAATCTTTCAAAGATCTTTTCCACCTCCTAACGGAAATACAAAACCAAACTTATTTGAAGCTGGAAATTCGTGTCCTAAGATGCTTTTTACTGGCTAAGTATATTCCATTGCGAAAGGGGAAACTTTCTATACTTAAATGGGGTCGAAATGGCCTCTAAATAGTAAGCAAATAAATGCAGTTCTCTGCGTGATGATTTTCAGTTATATCTGCGACTTTTTCAATCTTATGCCGAATGAAATCTGTGGATTAAAAACTTGCAAACTGCAATCCGAAATTGAAACTCCCTTTGCAAAGAGAAGACAACTTAAAAGAGAAACTTAATCAAAACAGAGACCTACTGAAAACGAATGCCATCAAAGGATGCAGGATGTGCGGCGGGGGTGTGAGCAAAAGTAGCGTTCATGTCCAGCCCTTCGAAGTGGACAACAAACCTCTCAAACTTTTGCCAGTTTTGTGCCAGAATCGTCTCTTAAAAGCCTCTCGAAGGCCTCTCGAAGGCGCCTCCTCTTTGCTGCCAAAGGGAAAAGCAAAAGCAAAAGCAAAAGCGGAGGAGCCTTCAAGAGCCTTCAGTTGAAAAAGCAGAGCCTACGGATAGATAGAAAATACAAGAATGCGCTGAGGCTGCCTTGAAGGCATTAGCTCGGGGGATTCGATTGGAAACTGACAAAACTTTGAACAACAAAAAAAGATGCTTTAGCCTCCAGGACTTCTAGACAGGATCCTTGAAGATCCAGCGCGCAGCTAAAACTTTAAGTATATCCCCATTTCGAAGTGAAAAGTCTCCTTAAAGCGTGGATAAAAATGGCAAATGAGAGACAGAGACTGGCCACAGCGACCTACGTCACAGGAGTGTGGGCCAGGGCCAGGCAACAATAGAAGTAGCCACATCAGTGGCAGTGGCAGCGACTGGCCCTCGAGGTCCTTGCTGTTACGCTCCCCGAGCCTCCTCGGTCAATTGGGTAGCCGCCCACCCCTTTGGCGGCAGGCAGCAACTTTTCTTGTTGGAAAATTGCGCATACGCGACGTCGTCGCCCATCATCGATGTCGTTGCGGCGTTGGATGGGTGGATGGGTGGGGGAGGTGTATGCTAGCTGGAGTTGAAGCCGAAGCTAGCGGCAGCGGTGGAGGCTGTGGCTGTGGCAGGGGGAGGGGGGCCGGCATGTAGATGCCTCATCCTTCGACCAAAAAGAAAGGAGTTTTCTCTGCAGTTTTATTTGCTGCCTCT